AATCTAGTCTATCACCAATCCTAGCTCTTTTTACTGTGTGGGCCAAAATATTTCTTTGGGAAGAGAATCTGCTTCTTATTACTTTCCTCCAGATAGGCATTCACTTTTTCTAACTCCAAATTACATTTTTTCAAGATTCTAGGCTTACTATTACATAATTCCTTAAATGTCAACTTGTTGAAATCTGGCCCTTAATATTACATCTTTCCCTCTTTTGTAGTATTACAAAACATTTTAAACAGAAACAGAGTTATTATCAGGTCTCATAAAACGGATTCTGAGACTGTTTCTCCACAAGAAACATCTTCCAAAGAAACAATCATCGAGTAAGTCCTATCCCCCTCATCCCCTAGGAATAAGAATAATCAGGGCAGATAAGACTTATAAATGGTATAGAAGCTGGAGTCAGTGACCTGCAAAGACTTATGACAGAGGACACAAAAGTACCCAATCTTGAGTGGGGGAATAAGGACAAGGGAAAGACTGAGAAGGATTAAAAGCCAAGGCCTTCATTAAAATATAACTGTGCTCTCAATTTTACAATTGGAGAACATTTTCTGCACTTTCTACAAATTCACAGTGGAAGCCTTTGTCCATTATATTACTCAATGTCCTTTATGTAAGGAACCACGCAATATGTGCTTCCTAGAATTTAGTACAAGAACAAGTCTCACTTTCAGATCAAAATTGGAATTTGTCATTTTACCAAGCAATGCAATCTATATGTTGTTGTGGGCTTTTGGAGCTGGAAGGGCCATTATAAATCAACTAGTCCAGTATTTTCTAAAGTGTGGTTTAAATGTTAAGAAATAAAAAGTTTTATAAGCAAACAAATCTCTTTCTTTCTGTATTAACTTTATTGAGATATAAGGCACACACCACGAAATTCCTCCTATTAGAATGTACAATTCAGTTTCTTTTAATATGCTCACAGAGTTGTGTAACCATCACCAATAGCCAATTTTAGAACATTTCATTACCCCCAAATGAAACTTAATATGTATTAGAAGTCATTCCCTATTCCCTCAAGAAACAAGTTTTACTTTAACCATAGGAATTGCTGGATCCTTTACTGGGAATCTAATGTGTTTTATGAATTTATAAAACAGGGTATGATGCACAATGTCTAAATGCTGTATATGTATTACCTCAACTCTCACAATAAAGATCGGTAAAGTAGCATATATAGTAAGTGTGGACAGTACAGCACAAAAAGATTAATGCTAAGTAACTTGTTCAAGTGTTCTTATCCATTCCACTCTCTTACAGAACAGACCAGTTGTGAGAGTAGGATGGACAACTAGTATTTCATGGGACATAACTTTCTAAGCACTTTAATTCAATCTCTTTTAACAGTGAAAAATATGGGGCCCAGAAAAGTAATCTAATTTAGCCAAGAAAACAGCATTTTCTCTTCTTTTCTTTGGTTTTTGGGCTAATTTACACCTAAATTAAAAACCTAACTACAGTTAACTATCTTATCCCAGTTTCCTGACACAATTCATTCTTCTTTAAATGTCTTTCTTTTTAAATCTTTATTTGGACATTTAAGCTACCTTAAAACTCTGTAGGGAATGACTTAAAAGCTTGTTGGGATTGACTTTGCTTTCTTTAGGTGTCCTTCTCTGAAAGAAATGTACTTCACCATTCTTGCATATACAAATCCCAACTACCTTGTAATGTCTAGTACAGATGAAGGAATTACTCAAGTTTTCCGCTTATCCTAGGTGGAAGTCAGCGTTGTCCTTTCTGTGTACCCATACATAGCCCTCCATCTGCTCTGGGCACTTCTGCGTTGTATTCAAATTATTTATTTCGAGCTCCTGTTGTGTGCCACCTTCTAGCCATAGAGCTCCTGGAAGGAAGAAGTCAGCAGCAACTCCAGAAGCCCAGCAACTGGGAGCCAATCAACAAGCAATCAAAAGTTTCCTATCTACCCTCGTTTAATTTCTCTAAAGCAAGAATAAAACTCTCCTCAAGCTTGCCAGCTCCCAGAGGGCCAGTTTACTCACTTACTCTGTCTCCCTCCAGAGCCCAGCCCTCCCTCTGACCGACAGTGCGCCCACCAGGCAGGCTACAGTGCCCATCGGCGCTCACCGCCAAGGTCGGCCTTTCTGAACCCAGGGAGGGTCAAGTAACAAGTAACAGTAACTGGCCAGGGGCGACGGTCAGGCAGACGCACATCCGAAATCCCATCCAACCCTCGTGACGATCCGGGACAAAGATGTTTTAACCTTTTCTGACAGAGACCTGAGCTATGCAAGGGGGTCAAGGCCGAGCAGGGGTCCCATGTCGGAAGGTGACAGAGCAAGGCCTCGAACCCGGGTCATCGCTTCCAGGTCAGAAGATCATCGGGGCGGAAAGAGGTCCTTGTTTGCCCTCCGTCGGCACTCCCCTCCGGACCACTGCGACCTCGGGACCCGGGGTCACCGGACGTGGGCCGGGGCTGGGGGTCGCGCGCACCCACCGCCCCTTGCCCCGCGCCATCTTTGAGCGCTGAGGCTGCCGCTCCAGACTGCCCCGAACCGTTGCTCCAGAGGTTACTCACCCGCACTGCCCGGGGCCAGCCCCCCTGCTACCTCCGCAACCCCCGCCAAGGCCAGCATAAGCAGCAGCGCGCCTCGCTGGGAGGCCCGGACCGTCGCCATGTCCCTGCCGGGTGGGTCCGGAGCAGCGGGATGCTCGGACCCAGCCGGGCCGAAGCCGCCGCAGCCGCTCGCGCAAGGCCCCGCCCCGGCGCCCAGACCTTTGGTGATTGGCTGCGGAGCGCCAAAGCCCCGCCCCAACTGCCCAGAGTTTCCAAAACCTCCCGGGGGCGGGAACGTGCCCCATACCCCGGCTCTTTGTTACGGCCCAGCTGTGTGTAGGCTTCTGTCACGGAGACCGCCAGCCAGCCTTCTCCAAGAGTGGAGGCAGGGTTTGTCAGAGCTGGAAGGGTCCTTAGAACGCCTCTGCTATCTCCCAAGGTTTACACATAGAGCCACTGAAGCTGAGAGCCCAGTCTGACCTGTTCGAGATCACACTCCAAGTTTGCCTGAGAGCTCTTAGTTCCAAGGCTGAACCAAAGGGGCTTTTCCCCAGCACGTAACCACAGTGATACTGTCAGTGTTCTTCCTGCTGACACTGCCTTTCACCCAGAGAAGACGGGTCACACCTCAGTTTCCTCTGAAGCTGAAGGGCTGTGCCGTAGGCATGGTCGGCTGACAGTGGTGGAGGGCCTGGGGCGTGGATTCTCCACCAAAGCTCTCTGGCACAGGTAGCCTCAGTGTGTCTTTGATGTACTATTAAACACTTACTCCTCTCTGGAAAAGGGAGTGGGAGAATGCTTGTCTATCTAGATATGGAAAGCCTTGACTGTCAGGCTGAGGAGTCTAGACTTGGTTCAGTGGACGAACTGGAGTGGGTCCCCACCGTACCCATCACTCCAGCAGCTACTGTGTGCAATGTTTTAAAGGGTCCTCTGGCGAGCAAAGCTAATTCATTCTCTCTCTCTCTATTCCTGAATTAAACCTTTTTTTCTCCTTTTTAAAAAAGCATAACCGTTTTTACCAAGAATAATCACAGTAAGACTAATTTATTTGTAAAATAAGTCAGTTTTATGTAACTTTACCTGGTTGTTTACATGAATGAAATAAGAATAGTGCTTCTTGCACTTTATTAAATATAACATTTAAGCCAACGTTTTGGTAAGGGGCTTTATAAGCCCCATAAAGTCAACCTTAGTTTTTAAAAACTGGTAATAAGGAATCTCAGATTAGACCTTTAAAAGTCTTTCTAGGATAAGAAGTCAAACCAAAGACTTGCCCAACTCTGTCCTGTTACAAGGAAAACAGATTCTTATTAGACCTGTGTAAATACCCATACTGTCACTTAATAAAAGTTTCTAAGTTCTGGAGTGAGCAGGAGGGAGAAAAAAGATAAATGTTTCATTTTTGTTTCAAATTGCTGTAAGTTACAGTTAAGAGAAAAAGAGCAAAAGGGTTCCTTAAATCTGGAAAACAAGACATTAAAGTAGCACCAATGTTACAAACAAAACGTGATAAAATTATAATTCCTTTCTTTGGTTATCCAGTAATGTAATTAATTCTTATTTTTCTTGATGTTGGGTTAGCAGGTTTTTGAATCCATCAGTTTTCTATTAGAGTTCTAGACATTCTGACTCAATGCAGTATTGTTATCTTAAAGTTATCAGAAGCCTGTACTTGTCAGAGACTTTTTCATGAATCTCTTGCAATTTTTGTACTATACCTGTTTGCAAAGCTTTCAGAAAATCATCACAGTGAAATAGTAACTATGGATGACAAAAGACAAAGGGTCATGGTTAAAGATTTTAAGAGAATTTATTATAATGCAATTGAGAAATAAATTTGATTATTCTGTAACATTCAACATTTTAAGATAATTAGAATTATGAATGATAGCATTTATGTAGGATATATCAGATTTCTAGAACTTTCCTATATTTTTAGAACATTTATATTAATATATAATATCCATACAAATGTAAAATAAAAAGTAAAAAACATTAAATATTATTGTATTTGACAGTGCTTCCCATGCATATTAATATATCAAATAAACCTCATTAGTTTAACATTTCTCTCTTTTTTTTTTGAGACAGCCTCAAGCTGTCCCCCTGGGTAGAGTGCTATGGCATCACAGCTCACAGCAAACTCCAACTCCTATGCTCAAGTAAGTCTCCTGCCTCAGCCTCCCAAGTAGCTGGGACCACAGGCACCCGGCTGGTTTTTTGGGTTACAGCCGTCGTTGTTCTTTGGCTGGATTCAAACCCGCCTTAGCCACTTGAGCCACAGGCACCAAGCCAACATTTCTCTTTTTATAAGGAGAAGGAACAAATCTTTTGAGATTTTCTAGGCAGCTTATTTAACAGGTAAAGTAAAATATTGTTTATAATCTCTTAGTAAGAAGAGACCAATAATCAAAACTTTTAGCTTTGTATCAGTAATACTTTACTGAGGTAATTTTTAAAAAATCTGGTGAATCTGTCTTAATAGTTCAATCACACATATTTCTTTTTTGTAGACCTTCTGCAGCTTTCTACTGAGTTTTTGACTCTTTGATTTTAGAACAGTGTCATCTTATTTTAAGACAAAATTATTTTTTCCCTTTATGAAAATGCATATCATTCCTAATTAAAAATACTCCCTGCTTGCTTTATTTTTCATATACAGATGTTCCCTTTCATCTTTATTA